CGTATTGAAACCTAATTTGCCCAAGAGTACGTTCTATGTAACACGATGGTAAATCATAATTATTAGTACTGTCCAGGAAATCGTTCTATTTAATCTGGCGGTATATTACATAAGTACTGATATAATAATTGCCCCGGAACACGTTCTATGTAACCCATCGGTATATCATTGGTGTCCGCGCCGAAGCGCGACGCCCCTTATGGAATGAAAATCAGATTTTTTGAAAGGGCAATTGCAACTTCGCGGGCGTTTTCGTCTGTCATAATAGCCGATAATTCCGTTTGGTATGAGGAAAAATGAAATGTCGCGATATGTATAATGAATAGCGAACTGGAGAATTTCGCAATGCAAACATATTCAAATGAAATCATCTTATCCGTCAGTTAATCGCTGTTCGGGTTTTTATTTGTTTGGGTCGTCAGACCAAACAAATAATGGTAGCGAAATTTCAGAGTCTAATGTTCTTAATTGCAAATGCCGAAAGTAGTCCACTTTTTTGAAGCGGTTACTTCCCTTTTGTATGTACACTAAAGCCGAAAAATTCAGGGGAGATCACTGCGTAAAGATGGTCAAAGACAGGCGCATCAATTTTCAAGCAAAGTAATTCCCGAATGGTCGAAGATTTCTAATATTGTTTTCTGGTATTTTCTGATCGAAAATAACTTAATACAAAGCGGACATTCAATCTCTGACACAGAAGTTTATGACAAACCTAACAACAAGTAGTTCTCAAAACAGCTTAAAACTAGCGATTTAAAAGAAAGAAATATTTTATTTTGTTACAAGTATCCAACAAATTACAACGCATTTAAAGTTAAACAATAGCGTTGGCTTATAGAATTGTCAATAAATGCACAATCACAAATTACGCGGATGAATATGATTTTATAAATGAAAATACTATTTTTAGCCATGTAGATTACCGAATACTACACAAACCGAGTAGTGGAATATATAGATTCTACATGTCGGACTGTTTGGGCGAGAGGATTTTCGCTAAAATATTTACTTCAATTTTAAACAACAGGTTTACCCTGAACAAAATACCTCAAAATTAATAAGGATTACAAACCTGAATGCAATGGAAGTTCTAAATTTAGAATCACTTATTATTATTCAGACAGTCAGTGAAAAACTTCTCCGTGGTACAGTGGCAACGGGCTCGCTTAGTGAGTCAGAGGTCTCGAGTTCGAATCCCAGTAGAGGAAATTTTTTTTTTGGTTAAATTCTTTTTTTAAGTGTTTTTGTTAAGGAAGTAGCCATGATTTACAAGGATAAAGTGTGGCTGTCGTAAAAAAGTACATAAATGATTTTTTGTTGCAACTCTAGTTATGCAGAATTCCGTATGTGCCTTACAAAATGAATTTTAATACATAAAAATAATCTTATACAGGAAAATGCATACAGATATACAGTACGATTTAGATTGCAAAGATCAGAAAATACCACAGAACTTGCAGCCCTTTGATTCTTTATAAATATACATGCTTATAGTAAGCTTCAGGATTATTTACATCTGTGTTAAACAACAGTTAAAAGTCGTTACAAGCCCTAATTTAGAATAATATGGTTTTCTTCAGGCCGTTCACATATAAATTTAACCGTGGCTGAAGGGTTTTCGGGCTCGCTTAGGAAGCGAGAGGTCTGGAGTTCAAATCCCAGTAAAGGTAACTCATTTTTTTAAATTGTTAAAGTCAAATAAACATTGGATTGAATATCAGTGTTGCAATTAGTCTTATAGCCAATTTACTACAATTAAAACGCTGGAAAGCATTGGTGGCACTGAACATATAATCTCACAACCTGCACCTTTCTTACATTCTGAGACCCAAACAAATTCAGCGCCTTCTGTGCTTTGATTTATTAATCATGTGGGTTATTATGTATGTGACTGCTGTACCTATAAATAGAATGATGACCTTAACATTGTGAAAGTCCGAAAATCAATTTATAGAAGTAGTTCTAGTTTATCGAAACGGTCATTCGTGTTGCGCTATGACTGGAGAATTTTGCAGACACATATTCAAACAATTAATTGCACTCTTAATAAATCTATATTCAAAAATTAAGTAGGCCATTTTTACGAATTGTTGTATCATAGTATTTCACATTCGTCTGCAATTTTAACATGAGTTGTTATGGGTTTATTGATAGGAATGTAAACACAAAATGTTTAAGAGAAGCGACTTTGAGTTGAGATATTGCCAATTTGCACCAGTACATCATTCAGAACCTAAAAAAAAAACACTTTGTAATACTAAATTATATATGTTGGTATTTTGGTTGTTGGGTTTTTGACTGATTTAAAGAGGATGGCCAATTTCTATAACATTCTCCTTCCTTAGTAGTTGTAGAGATTACACCTAATGTGAACATCACACCAACACGATCTTGGACAGCGTCAAACCACATACATGTATATAATATCATAATGTTTTGTTTTGCAAAAATATGTCAACTACAGTATAAGACATTGAACTAACGGATAGGTAAATTTTCACGTTATCTTTAGAAATCACGTAACATAAATGTTTACGACCAGAAATTGAACGCAACGTAAATTTCGACAGTAGAAAAGTGAAGGAAATAGAGGATATTCAAGTTTTTCTATAAATACATGATTTATTTTCATCGAGTGTTATGAAAATAAATATTTCATGAGTGGCGGTAGCCACGAGTGAAATATGGTAATTTTCATGCCACAAGATGAAAATAAATCATGTAATTATAGAAAAAACTTGAATTTTCTGTTTATTATATACATTTTTCACTTTTTTGCGATAAAATTTGAAAGACTTTCCCTTAAATTTTGTGTACTGGCAGAATTTAAAAGAAAGTAGTCCGGCAAGACACCAGTGAAAATACGGAAAATATGTTTCACTGCAGTGAAAAATAAATTTTTACAGTGAAAATACGGAAAATGAAAATACGCATTTTATTTCATAAATATTTCTCAATATTTCATTTATAAGTATATAATAAACGTAAATATTGACAGTCGAAAAGTGACGGTAACGTAAATTACGACAGTCGAAAAGTGAAGGCACCGTAAATTACGACAGTCGAAAAGTATTTTTTGACAATTCATAGTCTAAGGAACATTATATTTTATTTTTCATTTTTTTTGTTGTTGTTGTTGTTATTATCATTATTATCATAATTATTATAATTATTATTATTATTATTATTATTATTATTATTATCATCGTCATCGTTATCGTGTTCGTTGTCGTTGTTGTTGTTGTTGTTGTTGTTGTTGTCGTTGTCGTTATCGATGTCGTTGTTGTTGTTTGATAATAAAAATAAGTTTATGTTTATTGGATAACAAGGCTTAGTAAATAAACCCGTTCAAACTTTAGGCACATATGCGAAGGTAAACAAATGTTACAACAAAAGTTTTTGAATGGTTATACTTATCTCCCTTAGATTACATAAAAACGTTTTAGTGTTGTTTTGTACAAAGAATTTAAACATAAAAAAATATTTAATACCTTACAGACAACAAAGTAACGAACTTTACCTATTATCCCGGCAGTATGTCACATAAGTACTGATTCAGTACTTGCCCAAGAAGACCTTCTATGTAAACTGAAGGTAAAACATATTAGTGCTGAAACAGTACTTGCCAAGGAACACGTACTATATAACATCGCGGTGTATCATATTAGTACTGATACAGTACTTGTTAAGGAACACGCTCTATGTAATATGGCGTTAAATCATATTAGTACTGATACAATACTTACCCAGGAAAACGTTCTTTTTATTTTAGAACTGATACACATTCACTGATACATTATCTGTCCAGAAGCACGTTCTGCGTAACCCGAAGGTATATCATACTTGTTATGATACGCTACTTGTCCAGAAATACGTTCTATGAAACCCGGCGGTATGTCATTTATGTACTGATATAATACTTGCCCGGAACACGTTCTTTCTTATTGTATCATAGTTTGGAGACCTTTCTGTTGAAAATGTGTCAGGGTTAAATCGTATACATATACATGCACAGTGCGTTAACTGGAGTGCGGGTATTAGTTACCCGCACTCCAGAGCATGCCCATTGATTGGCTCATTTTTGCTTGGGTTTACATATTGTGACGGCAGTGAAAGTGAAATCGACAGAAATGTCATATTTAGATGCTCGTTCATTGGTTCATTTTTGCCGGGGTTTCATATTGTAACAACAGGGAACGTGTTTTTATGTTTGACTATGATACAAAAGAGAAAGAACACCAAAACACTCGGTAATCTGATTAATACTCGGGGGGGCTACGCCCCCTCGTACAAATCAGATAACCTCGTGTTTCGGTGCTCTTTCTATTACTTAGTATACAGATACACATTTACTGCCAGGAACTCGTTCTATGTAACTCGATCATATTCGTATTGAAACATAATTTGCCCAAGAGTACGTTCTATGTAACACGATGGTAAATCATAATTATTAGTAATGTCCAGGAATTCGTTCTATTTAATCTGGCGGTATATCACATAGGTACTGATATAATAATTGCCCCGGAACACGTTCTATGTAACCCATCGGTATATCATTGGTGTCCGCGCCGAAGCGCGACGCCCTTTATAGAATGAAACTCAGATTTTGTGAAAGGGCAATTGCAACTTCTCGGGCGTTTTCGTCTGTCATAAAAGCCGATCATTCCGATTGGTATGAGGAAAAAAGAAATGTCGCGATATGTATAATGAATAGCGAACTGGAGAATTTCGCAATGCAAACATATTCAAATGAAATCATCTTATCCGTCTTCGCTGCGTTAGCAGTGAATACAGTTCTATCACAATTTGCGGGATTGCAACAGAAGAATGGGTACCGAACAACGCAAAGTAGTTCTACACAGATTTTCTTGTCACACACAAGTGATAAGATTTTGAATGGTCAGTAGTTCATTTTTGATTGTGTTATTTCTATCGTATATTATTTGCATGTTTTCAGGATATAATCAGTAAAAAGATCATTAGTATTCATTCGCGTTAACTTTGCGTAAGGAAGTAGTTCGTACCAAAACAAAGTTTTCGACGTGAAAGCTGATCTCATCATTTTCTAAAAGTAGGTACAGAAAACTTACCAATATTATTTGAACTTAATTTTATTCTGTTTTGGAATTCTTATTTGGATTTCATGATGCGTAACAGTGTTGATAATTCAGGTGTCTTGATATATTTTTTTTTGTTGTTTGAGTTGTTTCCCTTGTTTTCCCGCAATATCACTAGTTTTGTCTATGTTTAAGCGGCTTTGTTTGTAAAAAGTTCAAAGTGTTCTTAATTTATTGGAAATATGGATTATTGATAGTTGGTCAGTATTATTTTGAGTTGCATTTGGTTTAAATTAGTGTTTTATAGAGTGTATGTCATAGATGATTTTTTAATTAAGTAACGAGTGTGGTCTGATTCGAAATGTCATCAGTTTTCGTGATTTGGAACCTTTGAGAATTGTTTTCAGAAAAATCCGTTAATCTAGCTCTCTGTTTACTTAATCTCACAATTTATTCATATCACTTTGCACATTGTGTTTATTATATTTTGCAGAAGTTACAGCAGAGAGAGAGAGAGAGTTTGACAGTATGCGTGTTTGAAGAAGATAATGCTTTTATTGGTACATTCAATTCCACAAACTGGTGAGTTTAGAATTTATTTATGATTATGATGTATTTTATAATAACTTCATTAAATGAACTTATGATTGTGGCGGCCAATAAAAAGCATATAGCTATATTATAAGTTAATATACCTACAGGTTAAGTAAGCTGTTCAATGTGTTGTAAATGTTTAATACACCGATAAACACTTTCAGAACTAGCAGACGAGAGGCTTTTCTTATCAGTAGTTTTAGGAATAAAGATAACCGGTTGTTTTCTCACTATATAAATTGTATGAAAAAAGGTCTGACATGTGGTAGGGTTAACTGTTCATTTGAATACTTTGTGGAGTCAAAAGATGTGTTGAAGAATATACTGTGATGAAGCTAAGATCCAACATTTGCTATTGGTGTAATTCATTTTAAAAGCGGACATTTAATCAAAACAAACTAGCGGTTTTGTTTAAGCATAAGAGATATTAATTTTACTCGAAGATAAGGGAAGCAACTTGTATTTTTTCACTTGATATACCTCAGTTATTTACGTAGATCATATAGAAAGTGTGAATGGGTTTATTGTAATTGACCATAAATTTGGAGGTTTTTATTTAAATGATAATTATGCATTTCAGACAAAGGAAATTGATTTAACTCTATTTTTATGTTGATGTAATTTGTTTAATTTCAGAGTGTTGATTTCCTCGATTTCATTGACTCGATGATTCATTCTTTGATTTCTAATGATCAATCAACTTATTGATTTACTGATTAATTGGACATGTCATGGAGCTTAATATAGATGGAGAAGTAACTTAGACGTCATACAGTTAAATTCAGTATTATTGGGGTTGTTCTAGTGCAAGTTATCATGTGTTTCGGGATTTTCCAAGATTTGATGCATCCTGGGTAATAGTAGCCAAAATACCGCCATATTCAATTCCAAGAGGAACATTGACAAAAAAAGACGAAGCATTTTCTACTTACATAAGAAGCAATAGTTAGTTATGTTAAAACGTACCATACACACTTTTCCACACAGATATTTTTTTTACTTGAAAAATATTATTTTTTACTATGACTTTTTTAGTTTCAAAGGCATCTACCTCTTACTTCAAATACATCATCGTCGGATACCCACGGCCGAACCATTAACATTTATCAGCCGTGGGATTTTTAGCCGATATTCAGTCGATTAGAGGTGTGTCAAAGGCAGCTATTTCATTGGCTGCCTGGCGATTTCATGAGGCGATTAAAACCAATCAAAACGCTCGTTCTGTACGACGTTCGGTATTACAGACACTATTGCGACAACCATAGACGACGTGAATAGTTCAACACGATTTACAGCAAGAAAGTATAGATAATTTACTTTTACAGCGTGATATTTTCCTTTCTGATTGATATCTGTTTGCAGAAGAACTGATTTGGCGATATTTTTTGCCATTGATTTTAGCAAGACACGTACAACAGTTTCTAACCGTGGGCGCTGCCATTTTGTTTCTTATTGTTTTTTTACCTCCGCTGTTGAAGAATATAGATTTGATAAACGCGATGTCATTGGTAGATATTTTACGCACCTGTTGCCGTATATCGACGCCAATCGATTCATTTTACCCACGGTTGATTGCATGTTATATAACATGTTTATCAATCGTAGGTATCCGACGATGCAAATACATATTCCTTATCATCAATTACATCTTATGTGACTAGGTTCATAATTTACTCTTAAAGCAATATTTCCAGGTTAATATCCCTTTGAACTTTTTTTTAAAGAAATATTATAAGTAATTTAATTTACTTTTTAGCTCACCTGAGCAATGCTCAGGGTGAGCTATTGTGATGGCCCTGTGTCCGTCGTCGTGCGTCGTCAACTTTTAACATAAACAACATCTCCTCTGAAACCAATGACTGCACATCGACCAAACTTTACAGAAATGATCCTTGGGTGGGCCCCTTTCAAAGTTGTTCAAATGGTTCCGGTCTGTTGCATATGTAGGTCATAGGGCCAGAAAAGGATTTCAAAAAACACAAAAATTAAAAAATCTTCTTGTCTGAAAGTACATGGGCCAGAGCTTTGATTTTTGGTATATGGTATCATTATGGGTCCTCTACCAAAGTTGTTCAAATTTTGTCCCTAGTGTCAAAATTGGCCCGCCTGGGGGGTCATAGGTTTTTCCTTATATGTATATAGTAAAATCTAAAAAAATCTTCTTCTCTGATTTGGCAAAGGCTACAGATTAGATATTTGGCATGAAACATTGTGTAGTAGACCTCTATCAAGATTGTTCAAATAATGGCCGGGGGGTCTTTGATTCTCATTACATACATATAGTGAAAACTTGAAAAATCTTCTGGTCTGAAAGTAAATGGCCTAGAGCTTTGATATTTGGTCTATGGTATCACCTATAGGTCCAAAACCAAACTTGTTCTAATTTTGTTCCTAGAATTAAAATTGGCCCCGGGGGTCATTGATTTTCCCTATATGTATATAGTGAAAACTTAAAAAATCTTCTTTTAAAGAACCCAAAGAGCTAGAGCTAAGATATTTAGCATGAAACATATTCTAATGGTTGTCTACCAAGTTTGTTCAAATAAAAGCCCTGTGGTCAAAATTGGCCCCGCCCCAGGGGGTCATTGATTTTCCCTATATGCACATAGTAAAAACTTAAAAAAATTCTTTTAAAGAATGTAAAGAGCTAGAGCTAAGATATTTAGCATGAAATATGTTCTAATGGATGTCTACCAAGTTCGTTCAAATAAGAGCCCAGGGGTCAAAATTGGCCCCGCCCTGGGGGTCATTCATTTTCCTTATATGCATATAACAAAAACTTAAAAGATCTTTTTTGATGAAAAAAATCAAATAGCTAGAGTTTAGATACTAAGCATGAAACATCTTCTAGCGAGTGTCTTCCAAGTTTGTTCAAATAAAAGCCCTGGGGTCAAAATTGCCCCGCCCCGGGGGTCATTCATTTTCCTTATATGTGTATAGCAAATACTTAAAAATTTTCTTCGAAAAAACCTGAATAGCAAGAGTTCTGATATTAAGCATGAAACATTGTCTAGTAAGTGTCTACAAAGATTGTTCAAATAAAAGCCGTGGGATCAAAACTGGTCCTGCCCCAGGTGTGTCATTGTTTTTAACATTATGTGTAAAGAAAAAAACTTGAAAAAATCTTCTTTTAAAAAACCCAACTAGCTAGACTTTAGATGTTTAGCATGAAACATCTTCGAATGGGTGTCAACCAAGATTGATCAAATAAAAGCCCTAGGGTTTAAACTGGCCCCGCTCCGGGGGCCTATATACAGGTGAGCGACTTTGGGCATCATGGCCCTCTTGTTTATATTTTCTTATCATTACACATATGTTGTGTGACAAGCATGACTATTTCCAGAATTACCCCCCCCCCCCACTTTGAACTTATTCATGGAATTTATGTAAACAAACGTTCTTAGTTTCATAGTTTTGTCTTCCATACCAACTTATCTCAGCCTCTTGATATTTGGTATACAGTATTGACGTGGTCCCATACCGTCGGATTTGATTTCAGGTCTGTCGCTCACCAAGCCCCATTTACCGTTAAATTTTCAACATTAATGGTCAATGGTAGGAAATTTTTGTGACAGATTTTTTAGCAACTACTTATCACAGGCTCTTGATATTTGACAAACAGCATTGACACATGGTCTTATACTGTGGGATTCGATTTCAAGTCTTTCATTCATCCACTTCCTGTTAACTGTCTTATTTAAATTTTACACATTAATGGTCAGTGGTAAATATTTTTCAAAACATTACAGCATCATGATATTTGGTATAGAAATGCAACCCGACCTTTTCTGTCTTTGACCCATTTTTTATGCCCCCACAATGTGGGTGCATATAGCGTTGCACTTGTCCGTCCGTCAGTCCGTCCATCCGTCCGTCCGTCCGTACGTCCCGAAATCTTGTGAACGCAACTCCTCTTAAACCGTATGGCAGATTTTGCTTAAACTTACAGGGATGAACAACCTTAATGTGTAGATGGTAGTAAAGGAAGGAATTTTCGCTGCAACCAAATTTAACAGAATCATGGCCCTTTGTTGATTTTTTCACTAGATACTATGTAGAAATTTTGTGAACGCAACTCCTCTTAAACCGGATGGCAGATTTTGCTTAAACTTACAGGGATGAACAACCTTAATGTATAGATGGTAGTAAAGGAAGGAATTTTTGCTGCAACCAAATTTAACAGAATTATGGCCCTTTGTTGATTTTTTCACTATATACTATGTAGAAATTTTGTGAACGCAACTCCTCTTAAACCGGATGGCAGATTTTGCTTAAACTTACAGGGATGAACAACCTTAAGGTGTAGATGGTAGTAAAGGAAGGAATTTTCGCTGCAACCAAATTTAACAGAATTATGGCCCTTTGTTAATTTTTTCACTATATACTATGTAGAAATTTTGTGAATGCAACTCCTCTTAAACCGGATGGCAGATTTTGCTTAAACTTCCAGGGATGAACAACCTTAATGTGTAGATGGTAGTAAAGGAAGGAATTTTTGCTGCAACCAAATTTAACAGAATTATGGCCCTTTGTTAATTTTTTCATTATATACTATGTAGAAATTTTGTGAACGCAACTCCTCTTAAACCGGATGGCAGATTTTGCTTAAACTTCCAGGGATTAACAACCTTAATGTGTAGATGGTAGTTAAGGAAGGAATTTTTGCTGCGACCAAATTTAACAGAATTATGGCCCTTTGTTGATTTTTAGTTTTCAACTTGTGGCACATGTAGTCCAAAAAATATTTGACCTAGAGTCATAAGATTGACAGAACAGTGGCGTGTGGGGGCATCCGTGTCCTATGGACACATTTCTAGTTGTTTTTTTTTTTAATTTTGAAATCATTCATTTATTATTGTTGAAATCTACTTATAATACCTTTAAAATACCATGTTCCCAGTACTTTTTATGTACATGCTTAAGTTGTTCTTAACATACACAAAACAAACTTGTACATTCCTTTATTAGAAATTGTCTTTTTTATATAACCAGGCACAAGTGACAAGATAATATTTATTTATATGCTATTATCATTGTGGACACAAACTGTAAACAAAGGTATCATTTTTGATTCTAGTCAAAGTAAAAACAAACAGTGATTGCACTAGAGTTATATAAGAAAGTTTGTGGGAGCTTTACATGCTCATAACATTTCTATCTTTGTCAGAGAAATATTTGATTTCTGAGAACTATTTTGACTTCAATTTCCGAAGAAACATGACACTACAGCCCAAATTTAAATGCATAATAACTATTACATTTGTTTGACTTAACTGTTTCTTATGGTCAATAGTGTTACATGTATATAATTTTTTAATGTTCATTTTACATTTGCTTGTTTTTTCTATCATTTCAATCCATAATGTCTTAATCATTATATAATTTGATAATACCTTAATTATGTAGCATTGTAGCATTGTTTTATGATTTACATTGTATTTGCAATTTTGTGAACATTTATCAGTAAGTAATATTCTTAATAAAAGAAATTTCACAATTGATATGAAGTGCCAAGCCATTTATAGAGTGTGTTTCCGATTTATGAAAATGTTTTTAACAAATGACTTAAAATTGAGCAATCACCATACTTTCTAGCATAAGAATCTTAAAATAAAATTACTTAAATTGCAAGCAAGTTGCAATTTTATACATGAGATAAACTTATCGTGACCAAATTTGTTTTTCATGTTAGCAAGTTCTGTATATATGCTTTAATTAGAAAAGAACACTGATTATGTATGAAGTAACTGAATGTTTGTCATGCAACATTAAATTGGGTAAAATTCAGACTATTAGATAAGGCGATGTACTTATTAATGCTGTTATAATTACATGTATTATTATTGTGAGTAAAAAGGTTCTGGGGATATTTCTATCATGTTTTAACGAGGGGCATAGATAATATACATTGTTTACTTTTTAGCTCGACTATTCGAAGAACATGAGAGCTATTGTAGTCGTGTCGGCGTCAGCGTCGGCGTCTGCGTTGGTTAAAGTTTTTTGTAAAGTCAAATATCTCAATTATTACTTGAGATATTCAATTGAAACTTACAATACTTATTTATAGTAACAAGGTACATCAGATTGACAAGTTGGATAACTCTGCCTACAATATTGACATAATTAATGCCCCTATTTAACTTAGAAATTTTGGTTAAAGTTTTTTGTAAAGTCAATTATCTCAATTATTGCTGGAGATATTTAATTGAAACTTACAATACTTATTGATACTAACAAGGTACATCAGATTGACAAGTTGGATAGCTCTGCCTGCAATATTTGCAGAATTATTTGCCCCTTTGAAACTTAGAACTTTGGTTAAAGGTTTTCAAAGATATTTACTTGAAACTTTACACATGCACTTAGGGTCATAATTGGAAGGTCATAATTGTATGTCACTGACTAAGTTACATAACTCTATCTTGCATTAAGGCTGATTCATATCCCCTTTTCTACCTAGTCTCTTGGTTAATGTTTACATGCAAGTTTTACATATCTCAATAACTATTAAAGAAATTTATTTAAAACTTCACATATGATTTAGGATCATAATTGTAGGTCACTGACAAGATCCATAATTCTATCTTGCATTTAGGTGGATTTTTTCCCCCTTTTTTCAACTTAGAAATTCATGGTAAAGTTTTGCTTGTAAGCTGTTATATCAACAACTACTGAAGGGTTTGTGCCTTTTTTGGGACAATTTTATGCATTCATGATAATAAAGCAGTGATTTACTTGATAAAACATCTTAATAACAAGCCTTTGTACATTTTCTGTCAAATTTATGTATTCATAGGTAATTTAAATATTATTATACTCATTAAAACACCCTTGTGACATTTCCTTCCGAATAGTCAAGCCAATACTGTATAATTAGACTCTCTCTAAGGCCTATAACATGAATTTATAAAAAAAAATTAGCCCTTTTGTGAACTTAAAAGATTTAACATTATACAAGGCTCTTTTGCTATCAAGCACTGAGAATAGTCGAGCGTGCTGTCCTACCGACAGCTCTTGTTAGCTCACCTGTCAGAAAGTGACAGGGTGAGCTTTTGTGATCGCTTGTTGTCCGTCCGATCAAAAACTTTTACTTTAAATGACATCTCCTCATAAACCACTAAGCCAATTTCATCCAAACCTTACAGGAATGTTCCTTTGGTGGTCACCTTTGAAAATTGTTCAAAGAATTTAATTCCATGCAGAACACTGGTTGCCATGGCAACCAAAAGAAAAAAAACTTTAAATATCTTCTTCTAAAAAACCCAAAGAGCTAGAGCTTAGATATTTGGCGTGAGACATCTTCTAGTTAGTGTCTACCAAGTTTGTTCAAATAAAAGCCCTGGGGTCAAAATTGGCCCCGCCCCAGGGGGTCATTGATTTTCCCTATATGCATATAGTAAAAACTTGAAAATTCTTCTTTTAAAGAACCCAAAGAGCTAGAGCTAAGAAATTTAGCATGAAACATCTTCTAATGGGTGTCTACCAAGTTTGTTCAAATAAAAGCCCTGGGGTCAAAATTGGCCCCGCCCCAGGGGGTCATTGATTTTCCCTATATGCATATAGTAAAAACTTAAAAAATCTTCTTTTAAAGAACCAAAAGAGCTAGAGCTAAGATATTTAGCATAAAACATGTTCTAATGGATGTCTACCAAGTTTGTTCAAATAAGAGCCCTGTGGTCAAAATTGGCCCCGCCTCGGGGGTCATTGATTTTCCTTATATGTGTATAGCAA